ATACCCAAATGATCCCCATCCATGCAACAAAGACATGTGCTCATCTATGTTCATAGCACCATTATTAGTAATAGCAAGAACATGGAGGCAACCTAGATGCCCCTCAACTGAAGAATGTATAAAGAAGATGTGGCACATCTACACAATGAAATACTACTCTTCAGAAAAAAGTAATGGAATCTTGAAATTCAAAGGCAATTTGATGGCACTTGAAGAAACTATCCTGAATGAGGTAACCCAGTCACAAAAAGAGGAACATGATGTATACTTTCTCATATATGGATTTTAGACCCAGAGCAAAGGATCAACAGCCTATAATTCACACAACCAGAGGAATTAGGATACAAGGTGTATTCTAAGAGATTCATATAAAGTCCCTCACAGATGGGGGAACAGACAAGTCCCCCAGAGCACATGGGAAGTGGGGGTGGCAGTGAATGGAGAGAGAAGTAAGAGAAAGTAAGGGGGAGGAGAGGAAAGAATGTGCAACTAGGAAGATTGAGTCAGGATAGGAATAGAAGACAGAAAGGAGAGAGAAAGAAAAGCCAGAAGTTAGCTCCTTCAAGTTCCTCTCCTATGGAAGTTGGTACCTTTACCTTATAGAAAATGAGATGGTCTAGGATATTGCCCAGTTAGAGTGATAATGATAACATTGAGTATCTCTTATTCTTAAGATTGATTGATTTAGGACATGAGGCAAAGGATGAATTATGTGTTAACAAGGCAGAACAATGTATTATGAAGAAAATAAAATTACAGTAAACCTTCCATATATCAAAAATTGTGTACAATCAATTTTCCATTGAGACTTTTACATCTTTAAGTTGAATTCTTTTGCAGGACCTGTGTGTAGGAGTGGAGTAAAAGGTGCAATCTGCAGACTAATATATGGAGTGTTTAAAATGCTTAGTTCTATCTGGAATGTGCTATGTCCCCAGAAGAGGTAGGAAGGTTCTATTGAAACTTGTAAAACAAAGTGAATACTATGATGATGATTATAATGATGATGATAAAACTGAGGTTAAGTAAATAAAAAACTACTGAAGAAGTATATAAGTATATAAGTTACTCCAGGTTCAAATCAGAAAAGACTCAAAACCATCGACCCTCTGATTAATAGCTCAAAAAAACTTTCAAGACACAAGGGGAAAACCTCTCAAAAATGTGTAAAGGACCAAGATCTATTGACTATGAAGCAAATATAAAAGTATAGACTAAAATTGTTTTCTTTTCAAAGAGGAAGACTTAACAGCAATTATATAAAGAATTGGTTCTGGATGACTTCAATATCTATGCTTCAGTGGTTAAAAGCTTTTGTTATGCTGGCAGAGAACATGGGTTCAATTCCCAGAACCAATATTGTGACATAAAAACTTTCTATAAATTTGTTACAGGGATCCAATACCTACATCTTAATTCCATGGGCACCAGGCCCACATGAAATACATAAATATACATGCAAGCATAGCACTTATAAGACAAAATAAATTAATCTAAATATTTTAGATAAGATAGTTGGTCAGGTGGAAATACTCAGACTTCCTTAATTTCTTCAGCAATGGTATCTGGTTGTCATTTCTATAATACAAAATGGAAGTATTACCTACCTATGTTTGGTATATCGATCTAGAATTTACTGTCAAGAATGTGATCTCTAAAATTCCTGTTTTGTTTTTAAAAGTGGAGCTCCACCGTTTACCTTTTTTTGTTTACATATGTATAGAATGCTATTCATCACATAGCAATAACTGTGATTAGATATGAAGATATTGATAAATATACAAGTAAATAAAGTCAATATTTTAATAAAGTAAAAAAATAGCACTCAAAGAACAACACACACTGGTACTGATATAAAGTATAAGTATGAGAAGAAAGCAACACAAATCTACTTTGAGAAATGTACTGGCTTCTCAATGTTAGGAATCATAGGCACATATGGTAGTTTTGTTACTATCTTTCCCCTATCTTTCTTTTCTGTCAGCATTAGCTTATTTTTCTCTTATAAATATAGTGCAGTTTACATGGATAAATGTGTAATAATTTATAGACAAATGATAGATAATCAGGGTATCAGGTGTTAGTAATTTGTTAATTTCTGCCCTTTTATCTTGCCTTCTTTCATAAAGTAGATATTTCAGATAAAAATTTTTTTCAATTTTACATGCTAATCCCGGTTCCCCCTCCTTTCCCCCTCCTACTCCCCCCAATCTTCCTCCCACCCCTGTTTCTCACAGAGGGTAAGCCCTCTCATAGGGAGTCAATGAAGTCTGTCCCATCACCAAGTTGAGGCAGGACCAAGGCCCTCTTTGCTGTGTCTATGATGAGCAAGTTATCTCTCCATAGAAAATAGGATCCAAAAGGCACATTCATGCACTTGTTACTGCCAGTGACCCCACAAACTTCCCAAGCCACCCACTGTCACCTGCATTCAGGTGGGCCTAGTTAGTTCCTTTGCAGGTTCCCCAGCTGTCAGTCCAGAGTTGGTGAGCTCCTAGTAGCTCAGATCAGCTGTATCCCCATCATGATCTTGATCTCTTTGCTCATATCGATCCTCCTTCTCTTCAACTGGACTCCAGGAGTTTGTCCTAGTGGTTAGTTGTGGGTCTCTGCATCTGTTTCCATCAGTTCCTGGATGAAGGTTCTATGATGACAATTAAAGTAGTCCTCAAACTTATTAAAGGGGAAGGCCAGTTCAGGCACTCTCTCCACTAATGCTAGAGCCATCCTTGTATATTTCTGGGAAATTCCCTCGTCCCAGGGTTTTCAATAATCCCAAAATGACTCCATAAAGATATTTCTTTCCTTGCTCTCCCTCTCTGTCCTTTCCCCAGCTTGACCACCCCTTTTCTTCATATTCTCCTCCCCACTCCCCTTCTCTTCTTCTCTCTCCCCTTCCTCCTTCCCTCTCCCTCCGATGATCCCAATTTACACAGCAGAACTTACCTATTTCCCTTTCCTAGGAGGTCCATGTATGCCTGTCTTATGGTCCTCTTTGTTACCTAGCTTCCTGAGGTTGTGAACTGTAGTCTAGTTATACTTCATTTTACGTCTAATATTCACTTAAGAGTGAGTACATACCATATTTGTCTTTCTGGGTGTGAGTTACCTCAGGATGGTGTTTTTCTAATTCCGTCCATTTCCTGGAAATTTCAAGATGTAATTGTTTTTATAGCCAAGTAGTACTCCACTTTGTACATGTAACACATTTTCTTTATCCATTCTAAAACTGAAGCTCTTAAAATATTAAAACAGTCATTACTTTTGGGTTACATATTCTATCATCAGTTTTCCATTTGTAATGTTCTGCAAGATTATGTAGTAACTTGATTCTTCAATGCTTACATTGGTAAATAACATTTCAATGGGAATCATTGAGCCTTTCTCTGACTGTTCCATTCAGAAATTATCTATCATTGTTTTCCTGATTCAGTTCATAAAGACCAATGTCCACATTTCTTTAACCATTTACTAAGTGTCCCATTGTAATGTAAAACATGTTGACAATGTTCAGCTGATACATTTCTAAGATAAGAAAAAATATGCAAACAATTGCCAAAATGGAAGAACCAATTAGGGGCCAAAATTCAGACAAATTTCAAAGGGATAGAATACATTAAGTCAGGATATGCAGCTCTGATCATTAAGTAATTTTTTTTCAAAACAGGGATAAAGTTCTGTGAAACTAGGATAATTTTAAATGGTATTTTATAATGAGTATTTGAGGCTATGGAGAATGTTTGACATTGAACTAACCCATATATTTTTTTTAATTTTGCTTTTATTTTTGTTTTTTCTTTTCTTGAGGATGCAATTGATAATAATTTTCCAGAAGTGATTAGTAACTATCATCAATAGACTAAATGAATATTTTTACTCACAATAAACATTTGTTTGATTGATGATTCAAAGTGAATAGTAACAGAAGATGCCTACATATCATAACATATTTTTCATGGTTTTATCCCTTTGCACAATTAAGATGATTTCATTTTTATTTATTTTTTCATCTCATTTTTCTTAAGTACAATATACATGTTGGTAAATATTCATAAGTTACCTTATACAAAATTCAAATCATTTTATTCTTAGTTGCTAACAATCTAATGTATGACTACAAAAAAGAACATTTACCCATGTCTTTTTAGATGAAAACATAGTTTCTAGCTTTAAGATTTCACAAGGAATACATCACCACTTTACCATATCATACCTTTGTGTAAATCAGCTTTCTACCCATATATATATGGGTGTGAAAATGTTGAATTAAATATACATAGTTTTAGATTTGATAAATATTGTTAAGTTTCCACTCTCCTTTCAGGAAGGTATTTCTAAAGTAAATGTAGTTTTTAAACAAACTCCCACATTCATATAAACTCTTTGTTGAGAAGATTCTAGACATTTTATAAATAAAGGTGGCTGTTCTCTAAATTCATGCAACTTGCATTCTATTAGAACCAAAACAAAACCATTTGAATGTTTGGCAGTCTTTCCCAAGATTCATCAGGCCGTTTGTAACGTCCTCCTGTGGGTTTCTCAGTTTGTTGTTCCAAAACAGCTGCACCTAGGTATGATCCAATCTTACATATACTGAATATTTCCCCAAATACACACATCCATAGTGGTTTAATTTATGTCTGGTCCAGATATTAACAATAATTAAGAACACTCTAATGAAACTTAATGTTAAGTACATATTAATGTTCTTTTTTGATACATATTTTGTCCAAGAAAAAATATTTTTAAGGAGAAATCATAGAGTCGGTAATTGCACAGCCATTTTACAACACCCTTTCTATTCACTTAAGAAACATCAATAAACCATGGTCACCATAATGTCTAAACTAGATGACTGGATATAAATTAAGTTGCAAACTTCATTGATTGTGAATCAAGATTCAGTGTCTTTGCCTTTGTTACACATATCTGCAGCAGAGACCCAAGGAAGGGAAGGGAGCAAGGTTATACTTGTGTGGGGAGATGAGTAACCTTTTCATACTTAGGGGAAGTTAGCCCATGTTCTGCCGGTTGCCATAACCCCTAGGATGGTTGTCCTTCCAGTCATCCCACTGCTGCATTCTGTGGTGGGTGCCCTCACCTTCTCCTTCTTCCTTTTGCTCCAGCTCCTTCTCTTCTTGCTGAGTTGCTTTGTGGGACTCAGGTGGTGGTGCTTGCTTTTCGACTTCCTGATCTGATGGCAAAACCTTACTTTTCTGGTGCTGCTCATACCAGTCATTCACTGTCATAGTTGCCAGACTTGGGTATCCAGCTCCAAAGACTTGAGCTTGGGCAACACTTCGAGTGAGGATGAAGGGTTTCATTGGAGACCTCTCCTGAGGAGGCAAAGGAGAAGCTGATTTCTCACCAGAGAAGTCTCTTTCCCTCAGAATCTCTATCTCCTGGTCGATGCTCTCAATCTCATCCAAACTGATGTTAATCCACCTGCGAAGCTGAAGGAGGTAATACTCGCGCACACGTTCCTCTTCAGCCTGACCACTCTCCACTGCTGATTTAAGAGTGGACAGCCTTTGCTCCACTGCCTTATTTTGCTTGTATCTCTGGATTTTGGCCTGCCTTTGGGATGCCATGGCAATGAGGGTGGGCTCCAGGATGGCAGAAGTGGTTGGGTTTCCTTCCGGTGAGCTGCTCTGTGCCCAGGGCAGCTGAAAATCAGCCACATGGTAGTTGTGGCTCTGGGTTAGGAAGTTCATGAAGTACTCTCGAGCCTCCTGCAGGTGGTTGAAGCGATGGCTGGTGCCAACCAGCTTCAGTGTGAGTGCGCCCTTCAGGGCTGGGAGCATCAGGTACTTGAGGTCAGGGGAAGCAATCTCCTCCCAGTCTTCATTCTGGCTGAACAGATCGAGCTCTGATAACATGTCTGAGGCCTTCTCCAGGATTTCCAAAGCCCTCTTCACCTTATCCTGGATTAACTTGGAGCCCATGGGTTGGGTTGAGGCTTCCACCTCCTCCAGAAGTTGCTGTCCGGTTTCCAGCAGGTCCGGGAGTCTCAGCTTCTGCAGCTCCTCCTCAGATGTTGTCATCTTGGCAGAGGGAGGAACCCGGGAACTGAACCAACAAATCTTATATTGAACTAGTTTGTTGGAAAATTGCAAAATAAAAGATACAGTATGTAAACAAAAGAGTAAAAAAAAAAGACACCACAATACAGCATCTTAAAAAAGAATACTGATGTTATCCATAATGTTTAATGTTTTCAGATTAAGACAATATAGACATTTGAAGATTTCAGTATTGAAAAGATAAGATAGAAAATTATTTCAGTATGTCATATTTCTGCAGAAATTACATAGTGCTTTATAAACAAAACACTATATATTTTTCAGAGGAAAATATGTAACCAATATGAAATTAAGAAAAATAAGGGGCAAAAAATCAAAACTGTAAGACAAAAAAAAATGTTGTGAACATTTTCGTTGAGGCTACATGCTGAAACACTCGGCATTGCATGATACCTAGGGGAATTTCCTGACTCTTGTTTAAATTGACTCAAGATGAGACAAAGGAGAACAGAGGGAGAGGGTCATCACTGTTCTTCTTATCATGCCATCAAAGTGGAAAGACAAAGATTGGGCCTTCTATCTGACTTTAGAATCTCCCCCACACCAGGTCCTAGAACCTCCAACTTCCAGCAGGATGGCAGAAACACTGGAAATGGTGCTTCCCACTTCAGCAGTCATCCAGTGCAACTGATTTCAACAGGATATTAGGAGACTGAACAGCATGTGGAGACTTCACTGATTATTCAGACCACTCCATGACATTTACCATGCTTGAAAACCTGCAAATGCTTTCAAGTAAGAGATTTTTTTCTTAGCCTTGCCAACTGTAGAGCAACTGAAGTTAAAAATAGTATTTATGCAAATAACCCACATACTTCATGATCAAGAGCAAGTATGACAGCACAAGTTCATCTGAGTAAATTTCATTGACAATTATGAACTGTACGTATATCTTCGTTAATATACATTTGTTCCTTTATATTTGTAAATAAAATAAACACAGTCTAATGGTATTTATTTGAGTGTTAACATTTACAGTATGTGTAAGAAATGGTAGGGAAACATGGCATGGGCAAATGTTCCTTCTTTCTTTATAAGGGAGCATAAATTTGATCCCCCTACTTCAACAAATACATGCTATATTTAGTATTGAAATGAAAATGTAAAACTTCTGCTCTATTGAACACAGCATTGTTTTCCACCATTCTTCTCTTTGTTTAAGCCCCTTCATTTTGTGGTCACAGGAGTCACTGGTTCCCCACAGGTTAATGGGCCATAGCATTCTGAAATGTGGGAAAGACTTGAACTTTTACCAGAATTATGTAGTTCATTTTCAATCACTATGCATTTATCTTATGCAAAATCAAAAGATATAAAGTTAGTCTCCAAGAAATGAAGCTCACAACAAAAGACAGACACTGCTTTAAAACGATGGAATGAAAAATAGTATTCCAAGCAAATGAACCAATGAGACAATCTCTCTTTTCGGGTATTCAACAAAACAGACATCAAACTAAAACTAATGAGGACATACAAAGTATTTAATTGCATTCACATTAAATGAAAAACACCTAAAGAAGATATTATCACTCTACATATATAGCAAAAAAAAAGAGAAGAGAATGGAAGATTCAAGAGGGCTATTATAAGGACCATGTGCAGAAAAGAATTTTGGAATAACTGCATACAAAGATTTGGGGGGGGGGATTTCAGTGTCTTTCTCCATGGGATTGTTTTTAATCATGGAATACTTTTTTCCTACCACTTTTGAGAAGTGACTTAATACCTAGCTAGGCTTGGTTACAATAAACTCAGAATAACAAACAGAAGAATAATTCTATCCCAATTTTCAGGAATCTTAGTCTCTGTAGCATCTCACAATTGTTCAGCCAGAACACATTCAACATTTTTTCATGTTAAATAGCACCACATTGGGTGATCAGGAACAACACTGAAGGAAGACTTTACTAAGTACTTAAGGAGAGGAAATAAAACAAAAAGCACCTCCAAATAAGCCAAGCCCATAGTGACACCAGTACATTCAGAAATTTCATCTAGTACATTCAGAAACCTTGGTTTACCTCAGGCTGTTGAGGATGTAGAGTAAGAAGAATCCTTGTCCACTGCTGGTAGAAGAGCAAACTTGTACAGCCACTGTTGAAATCAGAGTGGGGTATCCTTGTGAACCTGGGGATAGATCTACTTCAATATCTAGCTGTACTGCTCCTGAGAAAATAATGAAGAAAACAGTATATTCTATTACAGAGACACCCATTTCATTCATTATAATTAAAAACATGAAACAGCCTGGATATACATTAATGGGTAATGAACATGTAGTACATTTACACAATTAAATATACCTCTAATTTACAAAACATGATCATAGAACTCATATTTAATGAGGGGAAGTAAAACATGTCATCTTGGTGGGTTACTCAGTACTCCAAAGACAAAAATAGTATATAATCACTTAAATTTATCCAAATTTAGCATTTCCTCATTACAAAGGAGATAGATAAGATCCTTAAATCCCACAGATGTAAGGTGTGGAGTAGGAGAGTAGCAGGCAGGGAAACTTTTCCTGAAAAAAGGAAAATAATATAAGTTATTTGGAGACACACAGAGACTGATAATAAAATGGAAAATAAATAAACATGGGAGAAAAGAGAAGATAGGGAAAAATATCCCAAGAAGGATACCAAAAACTATAGACCATTTGAAAGGTGTTATGGAAACCTACTCCAGTAGATTTCTTTTTTGTTTTGGGCCTGTCCAGGAACTAGCTCTGTAGACTAGATCTCCCTGACTCTGCCTCCAGAGTACTGGGATTAAAGGCATTCACCACCAATGCCCTGCTCCACTAGGTTTCTTAATTCATAATATATAAAAGAAATCATCATATACCAGGAAGAGAAAACCCCACCTAGTCCACACTCAAGGAAAGGCAACATTCTAAGAAGTACACATCCATTTATATAAACTCAATTTCATTTTGTGATTATTTTTTAACTCATAATGCTCCTAAAATGTTTTAATCTTACACATAATTTACTTATATATTATGACTTCTGAATTTTTTATCTATAATGGTTTTATAAATGCCTCTCTATGTGTCTGTGTGTTTCTGGTGTTTTTATTTTCTCTATTTTTCTCCATTTGCTGGATGTATTTTATTTTGGCCAGTTTTTTTTTTTTAATTTAGGTGTATGTCTTTTAAATATTGAAAGAGAATGTAAAGTGTTAGATGATTGTGGAAGGGGAGGGATCAGGTAGGAAACATAATGTGAATATATTGTTTGATAAAAATCTACTTACAAAAATACATAAAAAACAAATATTGGTAACATGTTAATCACTCTTAATCCATTGAAATTAAATGAGTAATTTTCATTGGCCAGAAAAAAAAAACATTGGAAGTCTGCTTGTCTTATATCATGTGGCGTTCTAGGGTGGAATTACGTTGTCAGTCTTGACTGAAGATGAGTTTACTTAGTTATCCATCTCACTTGTACCAAACTTGAGAACTCCAACATATTTGGCATGAATACTACTGCTGATCCACACACCTATTCTGACCAGCTTTTGATAAGTATAAAATTCAATTGGACTTGAAATGTGGACCTCCAGAACATTCTGCATAAATGCTACTATTGATCTACATCCATATACCTTAAAAGCTTTGAAAATAATAATAATCATTTGTTCTGATTTGTACTGTCCTTTTCATCAGACCTATTATCTGAACTGATTCTTGTAATTTTTCCCTCATGGATGTCTCAGACAAATTAATATTTTTCTTTTGTTTATATTCCTCACTAATTAAACTATGAAAGGCACAACAGGGCCCAGAGGGAGATGATATTGATTGCTGCATTTTCTTGCTGACCATTCCTCAGGTGGATGCCATAAGCATCTTTGGCTCCCTCTCCTCTGAGCACAAGGTGCTGCTATACTGACTCATCATACTTCCAAGCCCCAGCCTGTCCTAGTGATCCAGCATTATCTGCAACCACTCACAAGTGCTTTTTATGCCAGGCTGGAGGGACCCAAAAATCTTTTCTGAACCTAATGACAAATGTCTATGAGCTTTAAGCTTTACTATTCCTAGTTTGGAAAGGAGGGTCTTCATAACTTCCATATATAAATTAGTCAAAAACAGTTTCAAGGTGTTTTGTGGGCAAAATGGACTTCAACAATCTCAATTTATGTTATCTTTTAGATATACACAGGAGGGAAAGGCTGCTTAGGAAAAATATAACCCAAACTAGAGAAGCTAAAAAAAATGCTAGGTACTTGAAAAACTAAGAGGAGAAATAACTAATAGCTAAAATATTCTGATTTAAAATCATTGTGCATTAATGAGGTTTAACTAGATTATTTTTATTTTTAAATTTTGAAGTGTACTCAGATAGACTGAAACTCTTACAAATAATTCCTTTCATGAAAGTGTTGAGTCATCATTTGATGGGGAGATTTCTGTACTCACATTTTAAAAAATATGAAAAATTTTGCAGATTTATATTTATTTAGTTTTGAAACAGAGTCTCACTGTTTAGATCTTGCTAGCCTGAAAACTAGTTTGTAAACAAGGCTTACCATAAATACACATAGAACCATGATTTTCTGCCTTATGCATGTTGGTAGGAAAGGTATGTGCCACCCTGGTTAGCTAGATGTAATTTTTATTTAGATGTCTCTCTTTCTCTCTCTCTCTCTCTCTCTCTCTATCTATCTATCTATCTATCTATCTCTCTATCTCCCAGTTTGGCTGAATTTGATGCACTGTAGGAGTTGGAAGATGAATATGATCATATCTCAACTTATTTAATACTGTGAGGAGGGGAAAGGATTAATACCATGAAACCTGCCATGGTCCTGCAGTACAGTCAGTGAGTCCTCCTGTAACTTTTGGCAGCTTTGCAGAACTCTAATGCAAGCTGAAAAGGTACTCTTGTGACTTTTCATTCTAAATAAACATTTCAAATATTGATTCCTAACAGGAGAAAAGCCAAAGAAACTACAATGCAGTAGAACTATCAAAATTTCAGAGAATGCCTGGTAGCAAGTTTTTAAATGAGGCTTCATTGTTTTATCAGAATTAAAGACTGTTTCCAGTAACAGCTCTATCTAGCCAAGAAGATACTTTTCAGAATAGGCTGGATTTGAACTTATGGCATTCCATCTGCATCTGCCACCTAACATTGAGACTGAAAGTTGTTAATGGCTAGCTGGACTTCCAGATTTTATACATTAGTGACAAAAGTCAAGGATTATATAGGGGTTAGCCAAGCAGGAAAACCAAACTAAGAGTTTTTGCATTGATCAATACGGCATAGATCAAGGTAGCATTAGGACTCTAAAAACTCACATATAAATACATGTATTTTAAAATAAAATTCAATTTTGATCTCAGGAGCAATGAGTAATCATCAATATATTTGTAAAATTGTCAATACCTTGTCTTTGAGTTGTAGAGATTTTTGAAATTTGAGTTTTAGGTACTGAAATGGAGAGTTCTTGCCTAGGATACAGAAAGTCAATTTGCATAGCATCCAGTGCTAAGCATACCCAACTTTGTAAAATAAATTCTAGAATTTAGGAGCTTTTATAATGTTTTTTCAATGTGTTATAAATTGATTTTATATATATGCATAAATGTAATGGAAACATTATTTTTTTTACTTTGATACAGGGTTTCTCTGGGTACCCTCAGCTATTCTGCTACTTACTCTGTAGACCAGGCTGGCCTCAAACTTAGAGAGATCCACCCTCCTCTGACCCTGTAGTATTTGGATTAAAGGCATGTGCCACCACCACCCGGTTGGAAACATTAACTTTATTTTGTAAATAAAAAACTGTCTTTTTTTCTGCTATGCTAAAACAGTTTACCACTTACACAGGAAAGGTTAAATTTTGTTCACATATCCCACTAATAAGGGAAAGTCCAAGGACAATAACTTGGACAAGATAGTCAGTTTTGGCCAAGAAACAGAGAATAATGACTGATAGAGCTCGGCTCCCATTCTCCATTATCGTACAGTCCTGGACAGGTCTTCCCACCTCAATGAAATTAATGTAGATAATCCTGCCCAAGCATGGCAGACGCCTGACTCCCTGGTGACTCCAGATCTCATCAAGTTGAAATTACAGCCTCTAATAATAAAATTAACTGAATGAGGTGTGTGGAGGAATCTGTACTATGATGCCTCCAGATAAAACCAAGCCTTTGTAATGTGTGTCTTTGATTCCATTTCTACCATCATCAATAGCATTAGCTCCTCACATTACTTAACTTTTGGTGTGCTGTTTGCCACATTTGTATAATGAATGGTATTTATGCTGACCTTGTTCAATGGTTTGTTTACTTGGATATTTAGAACAGTCCTAACAGTAAAGAATTAATGGATCTTAAAATTCAACTAAAGGATACTGGCTACACAATCTGGGAATCTAAAAAATTGTGAACTTACTGTTTTTGTCATATTGACAGAAGTTTAATTTGTACCATCAGTTTTCCCCAAACCTCTTCTTTTCATTGCACAGAATTCTAGACGGTTCCTTTGTTCATGTCTCTTGAGATTTTCCCAAGTTCTGAATATTGGAGTTCACTCCTTCAACACTTAATTTCTTCTGTCCTTCATAGTCTTTATTTTTGGAATTGTGAAAGTGTAATTATGTAATCTACAGTGTCTTCAAACTTGTAGGACTGCAGGTATGATCCAAATGCCCAGAATGCTTTTTTCCCACATTTTAAAATATGCTTTTTGTTTTCATCATTAATTTATTTTACATTATTTTTTTTTAGTGTCAAAGGCCAGGTATGGTGGCACATGCCTTTAGTTCCAACACTTCATAAGCAGAGTCAAAATAGTTCATTTTAATTCTAGTCTGATCTGCTTTGTACCCCCTAGGCCTTCCATGATGACATATTGAGACACTGTCCCAAGAGTCACTAAAATAAATGAGTAAAACTAAATAGTGGTATCAAAATGTTATTTCTTATCTTTCCATATCTTGAGTCAGAAAAGTAGGTAGCTGGAGCAGAAGCATATACCTATTGAACCACACAGGGAAAGATGAGAGAGATAACTTGAAAAAAAAAATCATGAGCTTTTTGAAAGATCAAAGAAACATAAAGATGATACCTTAAAAATAAAAGGTATAACCAAGGAAAGAATAAAGATACATTAATTTTATTGTACATGATAAAAACGTTTCCCGAAGAAAGCATTGTAAAACTACAT